ACCAAACAGAGAAAACTAAATGTGGAAGGAACATGTCAGAACCTGCTCTAGTGCTGCAGAGAGGCTTTTCCTCCCGGCTCAGGGAGCGCTTATTGTCTAACAAATCTAACGTTCTTATAAAAAGGGAAACATAAACAAATGATGACATTTGCAGTGAAAGGCTGACTGTAAAGCGCATCTGCCCTCCATAAACGGAAAGAAATGCCAGCAGATAGGGAGGCACATGATCTCCTTTGTATGTTTCGTTAAATTTAGAGCAGTGGCTTAAACTGGGAACAATTCAATTCAAGAGCTGACAACTGAGTAATTGGGGAAAGAATGGGAGCGACAGCAAACCGAAGCCCCACCAGTATCTGATGCTGAATGAGCTCACTGGTGTGTTGATGTGTGCTTTTGTACTGCTTTCTATTTTAATTTTAAACCAACACTCAAACGACATGGTGGAGTTTGGGGATGCAACTGAGGGCCGTCGTAAGGATGCTGACATTCTATGCACATTTGAAAAACCAGTTTCTTCCCGACTAGTTTTTGTTTTATCGCATCCAACCAGAGTTTTGTATCTACATGCAGTGTGTGTGTGTTTGAACAACCGGTTCCTCACCTGCTGCCCGTTACGGATGAACATGCTGAACCAGGTGCGGACTTTGCTGTTGGTGCCCAGCAGCAGACCGCTGACATAAGAAACTAAAGGACTGACGGCCTCGTCTGCTGTTTCTGGTTTGTAGTCCAGAGTGAGAGCCACGCCCAGACCTGGCAGGTGACACTCCTCCACCTGAGAACAACAACATGACACCGATTTAAGCACATTTTATCAGTCATGTCCTCAATTTTATGATATTTTTAGGATTGCAGCATCTTCTTATGCATTCTTTGTACAACCCACACTCGAATACTGGCGTTTATTTAGTTTTTTAGCATATTAATCATGTGAACTAACTGTTGGGCTGCGTTTTACTCACTTGACCTGCATGTCAACGCCCCTTTTGGTACTTCTTTGAACATTTTTATTTTTGATCATAAGCCATTAGCAAAGTCAACCAAAGTTATCCACATGTTAAGAAACACCAGCTACTGACATCCGTGGCTGAGTGCTCCCCGAAAGCACACGGCTTCAGCACAGCATCACATCAATTCCCCGGCCCCATTGTCTGAGTTCACAAAGTACAGCCAAGTATGAGTCCTGCTGATGCATCATTCAGCAAGGCAATGAATTTCTACTACCTCCTGGGGCCTCGTTCGATAACTGACCTTGTGCTGTAACCTCCGTGAGAGAAGGAGGGAAGCGAGAAGACAAATTTCTCCCCTCAGGGATAGCATCACAAAGTGTACCACTACATAAATCAGTAAAGAGAAAAATCTTTTTACTAACCTTTATGAGGGGAGTTGATCTGAGTAAAGGGGGGACAAAAAGTTCCTGGCTCAGCGGGGCCTGTTACTAGCACGTTTATGAGAATTAACAAAACTCTAGAGTCTGCGACGATGCTTTACCTGTCAAACAATAACTCTGAATTTACATTATTTAACAAAGCAGTGGAACACAATCCAGGTAAAGCAACACGTCGTCTTCTGTACGATCTAAAAATCCCCAACAACCGTACCTCTAAACATGCGGAGATAAAGACGGTTTGGCTGCAGTGCTGCCGCTTTAAACGTATTCTACGACAAAATCATTTAAGATATGTGCAAATAATTACACCGAGATCACGCTCAATATTTAACGCAGCGATGTTTCTGCAAACACAAGCGTCCCGTAAAACAAACACTTTGTCATGAAAAGCATATTCCAGCAAAGGAGGAGATGCTAAAAAATGCGCTAACAAGTATTAATTTTAGTTTGCACATGCATAATTAATAGGAAAAAAAATCCAGGGTAGCAAAAATAAATGTGGCACAAATGCATGTGTAGTGGAATAAAGCAGCTCCCAGATAACAGAATCCATTCCTCATCTGAAATGAATGATTCTGGGATGTTGTGAATCATATTAAGCTCACTGATGAAGCCTCTAAAAACTCATCTCTGTGTATCAAAGCTGCATATTTAGACGGTTTTGGTCACATTGTCCCTCGTATCGAATGCAGAGAAACACCTGCGGCTCCCGCGGATGTTCCTGTGAGGACGTGACATTGCACTTTCTGCAGGATACAGCAGCGAGTTACAGGCTGCAGCACCGTGTCACTGATTATTCCTGAGGTGTGTCGAACACAGTGGGTGGATTTCTGGAGAATGTAGAACTTCCCACTGCGTTAGGCACAGTCGAGGGAAAGCGTGTACAAATCTGAGCACTTCCAAAGTCTGGCACTGACTACTTCAATAACAGCTCTGTGATGATGAGTTCTAAAGGTCTGGGTGGAGATAGAGAATCGACTTTTGTGATAACAGTCTGTCAGTGACACATGTTTGGTTGCACCCACAAGGACTTATGTGGACATGTATGTCATGTGTCCCCTTGCAGATATGAAAAGGACCTTCAGGGTTTTTTACGTATGAAACCCTGGAAGTCTGAATCTGTGCTTCTGAGCCTGTCTACCTACCTCATGATGTGTCTTCCAGCAAATAAAAAAACACTGTGTGGAGATGTCAGAGTAAAGGGACACTTGATAGTTGAACAGAGGAACTCACCACCATGGCTCTGATGTTGAGGGCCTGCGAGGGGTTCATCTGACACAGCTGCCTGAGGGCTTCGGTCCTGCGCCGACCACCCACGCTCTCTTCATCCTGACGCTCTCCATTCTTGATGAGACCTCTGCACACTGCAATGACAGACATTTAAATACCACAACATAATTTGGACTGATGAATTTCCTTTCCTGGAACTTTCTGAGCATCACTGACGGTAACATAATTTCTGCAGCGTCATGGCCGAGTCATCGCCTCCATAAACTTTTATTTCACATTATCTCATTTTCCCTAAATGACATTAGTCTCCATCTACCTCTGGATTATTTCACATGCCACACTGCAGCCGGTGGAGGGAGGTGTGGCTCCCGGCTGCTGTTCAACATGACACACCTTGATGATTCCCGACAGAACCGCTTCCCACACTTCACCCTCGGATCAATTCATTTCACTTTTAATTCAATGAAACAAGGTCTTTTTCCAGTAACAAAGCCAAGAGGACTTCTTGCTGTTGCCTGCTGTGTAGCACACAAACACGCTATTGACTCAGCTCTGACCCTCTGCGCGATAAGGAGGCACCGGAGACAACAGGCATTTTCTTCTAATGAGTCTCTCCGAGCACACGCAGCACTCCGTGAGTCAGAGCGAGACAGTAATGTTCATCATCAAAGACAAATGTGCACACCCTTGGGCCGGTGGCGAGAAGCAAGAGAGGAAATCAAGCCAAGCGAGAAAGTTAAAAAACATAGGGCTGCAACTCAATAACTAGCCGCCTATGAATGTAATGAAGCTATCGCAGAGAGCTTCTGAAGGAATGTCTGGTGTCGTCCAGACTAACCACATGAAACTAGTCATTAACCGGCCGCTCTATCTGCCGACAGCATGCGCAGCGTGGCGAGACAGATGAATTACCTTCATTGAAGCTGTCGGGAACGTTGGCAACCAGCAGGCACAGGAACCAGTCGCCATTGCGGACGTGAAGTAGAGCTTCTGCCACGTCCACGATGGGCAGCAAGGAGGGCAGCTCTGAGACAAAGAAGGATAAACACACTTTGTCAAATGCAGAAGACAACAACACTGGAGTGGACTGCTTTCAGGATTCACACAAGGATTTGCTGGTTTTTCTGAGATCAATCAAATCAAATCAAGTTCATTGTCATGTTGCTGTACATACAAGTAGTACAGGCAAGACGGGAGAGCGTTTGTTCAGGATCCAATAACTTATATACATATAATATGTAATAAATATTAGATGGTGCAAATCTAACTATCAACAGCAGTAACAGGATTATGCAGATGTCGTAGTTTCTGATTCTTTGTCAGAAACGTCCCTATGATGTACATCCTCAGACTGATTCTACAACAAGGAATCCTTCACTAAAGACAGCCGTCTGCTGGCGTTTGAGCTGCACTGCTTATGGTTGATTAGTCTCACCACAAAAAGCGCCATCCTATGTTCAGAAACTCTGCATATCACATGGCATATCACCAGTGAGTGAATCCATCAAATAGAACTGTACGGTCCTAGAGCCTGAACAGTCCAATGTGGAACAGTTTGGACTGATTCTGTCATTCTGGAGCTTCAGCATCAGGCAACACATTTCTATATCTAAGCTAATCTTGCATGTGCCGCCTGTAACACTGAAGGCATTTTGAATCGTGTTGTTGCTGCTCTCATGTGTAATTTTGGGGCCACTAATGGTGACTGATGTGTATCATGTGTCACAGTCGAAGGTGCTTTATTTTATTATGCACAGCGATTAAAGCTCAGGTCAGCAGAGATCTTCTGGCGTCACTGTGCACAATTAAAGTTTTTTACCAGTTTGGAATTGAAGAGGTCTGAGAGGAAGCTAGACGTCAGGCTTTAACGCACATATTGAGACACTCTGGCCAATCGCAGGTCTTTTCAGAGAGACGTCGTCGTTCCTTTTGGCTGTTTATCGGCTGCATATGTGCAGCTGTGCATGCGTGTCCCTTCATGGGGTGGAAAGTCGGATTTAATGGCAGAAAATCCGGCATTGCAACAACTGCAACACTATAAAGCAACCCGAGAAGCAGAAGATGGTGGACGAGTCTGACAATAAACACGTGGAACCATTCATCAGTATCAGCAAAGTGTTCTCAGAAGTGGAGCTACATCCAGGAATTGTTTCATGCTGAGCTTGTCACTCTTCTCGTGGACAGGCAGGCTGCTCACTCCATCGTCCTGTGTGTGTGTGTGTGTGTGTGTGTGTGTGTGTGTGTGTGTGTGTGTGTGTGTGTGTGTGTGTGTGTTGCAGCAGTAGGTTTGGTTGCATCGGTACGTTTACCATGTAAGCTGCTCATGAGCTGTTGAGCGTTGCTGATAGTTGAACCTTCTGCTGACTGTAGCACACAGCTGCAGGTATGGCTGCCTGAGCTTCATGTGTTGGTCACGTTTATGGTCAAGCTTGTGCACAACAAGCCGAGGACAGAAATGGAAAGGAGCTGTTCTGCAGGTAGAGGGCCGTATTATCAAATGCTGTCTTTTTTTTCCTTTTCTAGATTTCTGCGTACCACAGCTTTAACATCAGATATTATGTCTTTATTAAAAAGAATGTCGAGGCTACAAAAAGCATCAGAATAAACTCACATCCTCTCTGAATGAGTAATGATTAAACCATTGGGCTCAGAGTCTTTTACAACATATCGGTTATCAGCTCTGTCCTCCGTCCTTCTGATTCACTGCGAGGTGCTTCAGCTGAGAGGGGACCGGATTGGTCGGTTTCACTGTCAAACAGAATTTAACTGAAAATAAACCACGTAGCTAATTAGGCTAAACTGTCACATACTATTAACACTGTGCTTTAACGTGTTCACAGCAGTTTGCCGTTAAATCGAGGAGCTCTGTGTGACTGAAAACACACGAGCTGTGGATGAAGAAGGGACGGTGAGATGATTCTGGGCAGAGCGCTCACACAGGTGGCATTTCTCTGTATGTTGTCTTTGTTCGCGGCTGTTTGATAAATTACTCTCATGCTTTCTGTCTCCCTTACTGGCACACTTTGTTGCACTTATGGATAACAAGCACTGTTGTTGTCAACTCCAGTAAACTACACCCCAAAGTCTGTTTCATTGTGCCGGCCCAGGACCTCTCTGCTCTGGAGGCAGCTTGCTGTCTGCAGTGTGAGTGTGTGTGTGTGTGTGTGTGTGTGTGTGTGAGAGTGTGAGTGTGTTGCAGTGAGACAGTGAGCAGAGAGGAACAGTTATCATTTAAACCCAGCTTTTAAGTGACATCCCGTCTCCACGCTGCCTGACATCATCATCTGACATCCTGTTGTTTGAACAGTAATTCTGCACAGCTAATAAAACATCCACCGTGCATCAGCATCTATGATTTGCAACGAGCACACAGCTGTGGCACATTCAAGTAAAACTATTAGGAAGATTAAAAAAAAGAGCTGCATACCTGCTTGTAAAATGCAGAGGACATCTGCCACCTCCTCCAAGTACACGGGACTCTCAAAGAGTTCAGAGGACTTCAAGAAGAACTCTCCGTTGGAGTCGGCCACCTGAGGAACGACAAGGGAGCAGGAGACAGACTGTGTGGATCAATCACCCTATTAGATGAAGATTAAACTACTTAGGGACAGTTGCAGCGCGGAGAAATATTTAATTTCAATCAATGTGGGAGCAGCTGCCAGAAATTTAGCAGTAATTTCTCGAACCAAAATAAGCTTTGATGAACAATTTAAAAAATAAAAGCTGTGCAATCTTGTCTCTTTCATCTGAGACATAATTTCCACGAGTAAGATATTTTTAATCATTCATTAGTTTGTGCTGAAGTCTTTCATGCCTTAATTTGTTTTTAGATTTACATCACTCTGCCTGTCAATATCCAAGCATCCATCACATCTGTACACTATACACAAAAGCAGCAGCTCACATTTAGGCTGCTGATACCAACACAGTCCCTCTTGTGTGCAGTCTCCTAACAGCTGTAGTTACTCAGGAAGCTTAAAAGCAGCATCATGGGAACAATCATTACAATCAACACTTAAAAATCACATTTAAGTTATTTGTTCCTTGAAACCACAAATAAAAAAACCTTCCCAATGTCTTGTGGTTCAGTGAATTCTGTGAGGAGCTCCGACTGTACCTTGTTCATGATGGCCAGCAGCTCACTGAGGGTCAGCCGGAGCCTCCTGAGGGGATCGCTGTGTTCAAACTCCAGGGTCAGGCCATGCTGCAGCTGTGACACCAGGATGCTCTCCCCATTCGAGCCGCCCGCCTTGTGCCTGGCAGAGGAGACACAACACATTTTGTATGACTTGATGAATAAAGAAAACATGCCATACATTCTCTGCTTTACCAGACTGCAGCTATTTCATGTGAGAGTGAGCTGTACCTGAGCTGCTGCTCCTTCCGTGCGTCCTGCTCCAAGGCATGAAAGTCCACCGACAGCAGCGCCACGATGGAGTTGACAGCTTCCACTCCAGAGAGCAGGCGGAGGATGAGCTTCTTGTCCTGCGCCCACGACTGGCTCTGATCAGCAGGAGCACAGAGAGCCATCCTCACCAGGCAGGGCAGCAGCAGCCTGAGCTCTGGGTCGCTCAGGGCAGCCAGACGCACCACGTCCACCTTCTGCATGGCTTCAAACGCATAGGGGCTGACGAACTGCAGCCCTGCACTGTCTGCCATCTCCCCAGACCCAAAGCTGGGGGGGAACACACCACATGTAGACTTTAAAAGAGAATTTAAGAAGCAGAATCTGATGCCACCTGATGCAGATTAAGAGTGCTTTTTGTGGGTCATAATGCACTGATTTAAAAGTGTAGGAAACATTGCACTAACTGTAAATAAAGTACACAAAGACGAGCAGAAGTTGTGCTGACAGTAGACTGAGTAACGGCTGTCACACTGTGCGTTACTGTTCATGTCTACATTAATAACTCTGACGTTATTTGGCTCATGGTGATGTGCTAAATGGCAATTTGTCCAGACGTTTGATCGAGCAGATACAACAAACAAACAAACAAACAAACAAACAACGCTAACTGTTGCAAACGAAACAAGCTAAAAGCTGCCCATCGCTGCTAACTCCCGCTAATGCTAACTACTACTGGGAAAATCAATTGTTGTTAACTTCAACTGACGTGAATATTTTTTGCTCTGGATCGAAACGTCTTAAAACACGAGCCGTACGCAGAAATGTTGTCAAAGCACGTATAATATAGCTAAGAAACCCTCAACTCTTAACTGGGAGGTTATATTGTTAACGTTAGCTAGTAGTTAGCTAGCTGGCTAGCTACTAGCACTCATTCACTGCCCCCTGGTCTTTTAGAGCGACTCTTAGCATGGTGCTAGCCAGCTAACAGCTAAAGCTAAGCTAGGCTAGGCTAGGCTAGGCTAGTTTGTAAGAGGACAATACTCCAGTCTGCTGCTGGTCTGTCTCCGTCGTGTACACGTCGCAAGTAAAAACAACAATTCAACAAGAGCGCCCTTACCTCACTTATTAAGATGAAACTGAGTCTTTAAACAGAAATGTCACCATCGAGGCCTTCAGACCTCGGACTCTGCTGTGTACCGTCAGCCCCTACGGTCTACCGTTACGGGGCAGTCCTACATCAATGACTGGTCCTGGCTGAAGCCGGTCGGCTCATGGAAATGTTTTTAGCGCTGTATTGTTCACGTCCTGTCTGTCATAGTTTCCGATTGGACCTCATCTGTATCTACAGTGAACACAATGTCATTGTGCACGTGAAGGAACTGATGTTGTCAGTGCGGCGGAGCGGCGCTGACTGACTGACTGGAGGCAGCGCGA